AAAAAAAAGAACTAAAATATTAAAAAGGAAAATACAATTAAGTTCAATAGATTACCAAGGTAAAAAAATTGCTTTCTAAGGCAATTCGTTAACTCAATTATCACCATTACACTTACTGTGTAAGTTATAGCTGCCAACATGCCAATCAAGGTCAGAGAACTAATAGAAAACGACAATGCAGCTAAACCATCTGTAAAGAAAGAAAAACTTTTTTAAAAATGTACATATATACTATGCAAATGTTTATATTCAGCAAATCAATACAAAATATAAAAAACTGGTCTCCTTAGACATTCTGAAGGAATAAAAACCAATATATCTTACGGTGTCCTTGAAGTGCTAACTTCAAGGGGAGAAAAGAGTTTGTAAAGAGCTCTTCACAAATTGATTTGTACAAGATCTTTCAGATTAGCTAAGATTGTCTTTCCTTCGCCTCTTAAAATTAAGAGAAAAATTACTAATAATTGGGCCTAAAAAGAAATCAACAAAATATCAGACGCTCAAAAGGTAATGAAAAGATAACCTGGCTTTTCTCAAATGACAGACCCTGTAGAAAAGTTGTTGACCTTGATCGTTCTCCTTTCTCCCTTCAATTCTCATGCTTAGTTTCTTTGTTCTTAATTTTCAGATAAGTTTTTAATATATAGCCTAAAACTAAAATCTTAATTAAAGAGTTTATTTCACTTTTTAATTTGAAACAACTGATTTGCCTACTTGGTAGAAAAATAAAAGCAAACACCATGAAAAATAGATTCAAATGTAACACCAAAAAAGGGAATACTATGTTAACGAGTTGTATTTAGGAAATTATTTAAAGAGAAGCCAGTGCACGAGGGGCAGGGGTGATACTTTCACATAAATATATCAGATTATATATGAAATACTATGAAAATTTGAATATTCTTAAGGAGGAGTAATAATTTTTCCAGTTTTAATACAGGTCCTTTTGGGCTTGTATTGATCTAGTTCAAATGCAGGTCCTATGGAATCAAACACAAGATTTTCATTAATTTAACGAATTAACATTAATCTTTTATAAATACTAATAAAATTATAATAATCTATCTTCTTAAAACTCATTTCTCAGTTTTATATGAAGTCTGTCCGGAAAGTATTCAGCCATTGTTAATATAACAAGAACAGTTACATGGCTGGATATTTACCAGACAGACCTCACATAACACATAAAATAAGTATGTTATTAACAAATTCACAAATTATGCAAGGCAAATTTTTATGCCTTAATTTTTTAAAATTACATTTTATCAAATCAAAGACATTTTGATGCTGTTACTTTCTTGTTCTTACCAGAAGCATCAACAGGTTTTCATACAACTAGGACAGGTCTGGTATCTGGCTGACAGCAATTTTAAGGTACTATCATCACTTCTAAAATATATCTCCAAAACAGAGACATAAAAATGTCAAAAATTATGTGTCTTAGAATTGATAAAATGGAGTATTATGCTAACATATATGGCCAATCACAAAGTTAATATTACTAATACTCAAAATCATCTAAACCAAATTATGCAAAATTGATCATCATGAATTATTCCCATTTGGGTAAAGGATGAATAAACATGCACTAAAGACATGTGAAGATAAATTATCTTGACGTGGTAGGGTCTATGATCTGTGTACATACATCTTCAGGATATAATAAATAGATACTATTGATAA